GCTGTCCCTCAGCTCTTCAGCTCAAGGCTAGAGCTCTACCACTTGAGCCACAGCGCCACTTCCAGCTTTTTTCTTTTTGCTTATGTGGTGCTGAGGAGTCGAACCCAGGGCCTCATGCATGCAAGGCAAGCGCTCTACCACTGAGCCGCCTTCCCGGCCCTTTTTTTTTTTTCTTTCTTTCTTTTTTTGGCAGTACTGATGTTTGAACTCACACTTGGTAGGCAAGTACTCGGCCACTTGAGTCACACTCCCAGCCAGTAACAAAGATTTTTCTAGTACAGGGCTCAGTTTTCAGGAGGCTATTGAACATGTTTCTTAGCCTGTCATCTGTAAAATGTATAATAAATATAATGCTTGTTATGCCAACCTTGAGTCTTGTGATTATGAGGGTTAGTGAGAAACTATCATGAGACATTGTGAAAATTTTTAAGTATTACTGACCGTTATTATTTTTTTTTTAATGGGTCGTGGGGCTTGAACTCTGGGCCTAGGTGCTTTCCCTGAGCTCTTCAGCTCAAGGAGAGTGCTCTGCCACTTGAGCCACAGCGCCACTCTGGTGTCTGGTGGTTAATTGGAAATAAGTCTTATAGTGTTACCTGCCCAGGCTGGCTTTGAACCACAATCCTCAGATCTCAGTTAGGATTATAGGCGTGAACCATAGTACCACTCCTATTTTGTAAGTACAAAGACCTTTTATTTCTTTTATTTTTTGTCAGTCCTTGGCTTGAACTCTAGGCTTGGGTGTGGTCCCTGAGCTCTTCAGCTCAAAGCTAGTGCTCTACCTCTTGAGCCACAGTGCCACTTCCGGTTTTCTGAGTGATTTATTGGAGGTAAGGGTCTCATAGACTTTCCTGCCTTGGCTGGCTTTGAACTGTGATCCTCAGATCTCAGACTCCGTAGTAGCTAGGATGACAGGTGTGAGCCACCAGTGCCTGGCCAAAGACCTTTAAGTTATGTATTTATGTTGTTGGCTTGGTTCATAACTGAAGATAGAGACACACTTGCAAATTAACAGAGTGTGTGGAGAACCTGGTTGAGGGATTCCATTCCCAGATCCCAGGCATATTGACTTGTGACCATGGATCACTGTCCAGGAGTTTGACTTTCCCTATTGGTAAACTGGGGGCAACCACACAGCAGGTGCTTGATAGCACTGTGATCTGCATGTTGTTTGGCATCATGGTAGCTGGAGGCTCTTGTCTCCATCCAAGGGCTCATTAATAATGGAAGGAAGCTCTCCTGATTTAATGTAGTAGCGCCAACTCTTCGGACTGGTAACTGCTGGATTGTCTCCATCCATTCATGCCCAAGCCATTCTGGTGCCAAGCACTTGACTTTACTAAAAAATCATTCCCCCCTTAATAGCTTCTCTTTGATCGCCATATTTGGTAAATGTCTCTTGGAGACACCCTGGTCTGACTGTTTTAGTTGAGTTCAAAGAGCTTCCTAATCCCAGAATTGATTTTCTTTGACTCTAGTGCATCTAGGTGTTTTTTTTTTTTTTCCTGTTTGTTTTTGTTGAGATGGGATACAATAAACTCTGGCAAGATAATTTTGGGGTTTTGTCCCTCAGAATTAACTTTTGTCAATAATTAGCTATTTAACCTTGGCCAGATTATTTAGTCATTCTGGTCTCAGTGTCCTCTTCTCTACAGTGGGAGTCATTTCTGTTCTGTACTTTATTATGGGAGGCAAAATGGCTTAACTCTGGGCCAGGGCCTATGATATGGGGAAACCATTGGTCACACCTGGCAACACTACAGAGGTAGTCTGTAAATGTCTGCTTCTGGCCCATCTTTCACAGAGTCTAATGAGTAACTACCCCCACATTGGATTCAGGTGACCATACTTAGCCTTGGCAGCTGTGGAGGAGATTTAGGTTAGCAAGTGTGTTGTGAGAGTGGCTGCCCAGAGAATGAGGTTCCTGTCCTGTGGACCTTAGGGACCACATTCCGCAGGCCCTCCACAGTGGTGGTGTTTCCTTGTAGGCATAGGCTGCCTGGTGACCTTCCTCATAGTGGTATCAAGGTCGGTCCAGACTCTCACCATCCCCTCCCATTTGTTCTGCTTGGTCCTGATTGCCTTTTGAATCTCTTTTAGAGCTCTGAGCTCTTCACCCTGACCTATGGGGCTCTTGTCACTCAGCTGTGCAAGGACTATGAAAATGATGAAGATGTCAATAAGCAGCTGGACAAAATGTGAGTGAGCGCCTTCACAGAGAGATAGGAGTGGGGCTCCCTAGCGCTCTGTCTGCATCATCCTTTACAGCCCTGACAGGTTTGGGGTACAGTTTCCACTGAGCTCATTTATTGGGATATTTTGAGATTTTCCCTATTTTCCCTATATAAATAACAGTCTTATGTAGGCTCAGACATTTAGGCCCCCTAACGGCCTGTTCTCTAATTTCCTTCCCAGGGGCTATAACATTGGAGTTCGGCTGATTGAAGATTTCTTGGCACGGTCAAATGTTGGGAGATGCCATGACTTTCGGGAAACTGCAGATGTCATTGCCAAGGTTATTATCCTGGGCCACCTGGCCATGCCAAAGGATATCCATTGGGAAACACTGCTCACTGCTCTCTGTCTCCCTGTGAGAGCTCCTTAATCTCCCCAAAGACCAATTGGGCATCTCTTTAGGCTAAGGAATCACCAAGCACTCCAGTGGGGTGGGAATAACAGACCTTGAAAGAAGGACGAATGCCGGGCGCCAGTGGCTCACACCTGTAATCCTAGCTACTCAGGAGTCTGAGATCTGAGGGTCTCGGTTCAAAGCCAGCCAGGGCAGGAAAGTCCATGAGACTCTTATCTCCAATAAACCACCAGAAAACCAGAAGTAGCTCTGTGGCTCAAGCGGTAGAGAGCTTGCCTTGAGCTGAAGAGTGCAAGGACAGCACCCAGGCCCAGAGTTCAAGCCCCACAACCAACAAAAAAAAAAAAAAGAAAGAGGGACGAATGTTTGGATCATCCCTGTGGATTAAAGCCGGAACTCTTCACTGTGGAGATGGAGTAGAGTAGGTTGGGGAGTAAGAATACAGATCTTAGGGCTGGGAAGGTAGCTCAGTGGTAGAGCACATGCCTTGCATGCCAGAGGCCCTGGGTTCGATTCCTCAGCACTACATAAGCAAAAAGAAAAAAGCAGGAAGTGGCGCTGTGGCTCAAGTGGTAGAGCGCTAGCCTTGAGCTGAAGAGCTGAGGGACAGCG